TAACGTATCCACAGAAACTTGAGTTCTGCTCATGCAGGATCAACATGCAGTCTGAGTTATCTAACGCGCAGTATTAGGGACGATAATTGCACTTTCCAATAGCTGAAAGCGCAAAAGGAAATGTCCCTTTTGACTCTTTTTCATATTCGTTGAATGATCGAAGATCAGAAACGCTGTCGTCTTGCTAAGGGATCGAAGATCAGGTGAGTGGATTATGGATACGCGACTTTGTGATGACCGTTGGACTAGAGAACCAGGTGGCCGCCGGTCAATAGTCAGGCTTCTTCACGAAAGCTTCTGAACATAAGCAATAATGAGCTCCTCGAGAGACGGGGCTCCGTAGTTCTTTGGGACCCAACAGGGGCAAATCGAGAAGTTGCTGGCGCCCGGCTTAACAATGAGCAGTCTATGATCAAGCTGAAAGTTGTTCTTCACAGCAATGACGACAGTTGTGAGACGCGGAATTGTCCTTCTGCAGTTCTTCTAATCTTCACCAAGCTCAGTGCAAACGCATCTTCCGTCAAAACGTTCAGAAACCGCTACTGTAACATGAGCTCAGCGGTAGTGGTATCAAAAGCAGAATTTACGAAGAAAAGTTAGCCGATTGGAAATAAGGGTAGAGGTGTTCAGTGGAGCAGGGATGAAGAAAAGATCCTGTGAAAAGGCCAGAAACCTGAGAAATTGGTCAACTCCTTTGCCCGTTGATTTGTATGGCATTGTGCGCACTTCTCATTCTGTCCCTCTTCAACGCGGTACGGCTCTCTTCGCTATCTGATCCTCGCCACCTGATAGGAACTGCGGGCGATGTGTATTGGATGGTTTCGGTGGGGCCTTCCACATGCGCGCCAAGGAGTGAGGCCCATGCCGGAACATTCGCCGATGTCAAATCTCTCGCTGCCGACTGCGCGTCGGTCAGCACCCTCAGAGGTCCCCCTGTCTCCCAACTATGCATTTTTTTGTGACCTTCTCTCGTTCTTATCATGCCACTAATAAGCCTCCATTAAGCCACTAATAAGTTATCGCACCCACCCTCTGAACCTGGTTTATAGCATAAAATTACGCAATTATCACAAGTTCTCGGTTTCTACCTATCTGGAATTCCTTCGATGTTGCATGGGGAATCGGCGTGCTCGGCGAGGGAAGTAGGACACCCCACTTGTGAATTCGTTGACCGAAGCAACAGTCCCAGCAGGGTGGGCGTGGTCGGAAACGGCTGCAATCCCTCGGCCGATTCCCACTTCGGAGCTGTTCAGCCCCTAGTCAAGAACGTAGAAGTGTGACTGAACAAAAACTCACCTTGGAAAGCCGCTAGGGAGGGAGCTGAAGTGGGCGTGGTCGGAATCGGCCGAGGGGATTGCAGTCGTTTCCGACCACGCCCACCCTGCTGGGACTGTTGCTTTAAATATTTAGATTCGTGAGAGTCGTGAACATTTTGGAAAGAAACTCAAGCGCCAATATGAAGGTTCAAAACAACAATTTAAAACTTCTGGAAAGCGCAATGCTAATGAAATTTTCTGAAAGGGCACCCCTTCAATGTGATACCCACATTCAAAACTTTGCATTCTATTGGTAGCCGGTTCCTGAACGTTATCCGGCGAATGAGCTCTGCGAATCCATTTTCATATTTGTAAAAGGAAGCAGTTCTGCTTCACATCTTCGACCTCGAATCGAATCCGCCTCTTCTACTACCTTGGTATGTGCAAGCGAGCACTTCGTCTATAGGGGTTGATAAATGATATTTTCGTTGGAGAGGACTGTTTGACGAAACAATGTGATAACTAGAGGTCGGCGGTGGCCCAAAAGGTCGTTTTTGCTGTCTGCTTAGCATCAGCAATTTTTCGCCGCACAGGTGTGCAGACGTGATAAAGTTTTCGTCTGACTTCTGAAGCACTTGCTTCCCAAGACAGCCCCTCAAACACAAAGCAGGCCCTTCTTCACTGCCCTCACCGTCTCAGAATATGACGTCATCTGCCATCGCCGTCGAGCTCAAGGAGGCCTACCGTAATCGCTCCATCCTGAAGCTGCTCTATAACTTCTTCAATCAGTTCACTGGTAGATAGCTTTCCAAAGACTGTAGCTCTGCCTATACAAGACCTCTTCCGATCGGCTTTTAAGATATCGTTTAAATGGTCTACTAACCGTTGAGGAGCTGAGCTCCAACAGTGCATCATGTTCCCACGGAAATGTTCTTAAGACTTCGGTGTAGAAGTCTGATGCGGAGTTTTTTTTCCAATAGATTAGAATGTGCTCCCCAATTTTTGGTTTGATTTCAGCAAAGTGTAGGTAATTCCGTTTCAAAGTGGAGGGAGAGACTCATTTTTTGGCCCCGCTCTATGTATGTACTGCTTGCATTTGCCTCCCTTGGTCAGATAACATTAGTTCATCAGAGCACTATTCCCTTTTCGTTCTACATATACAAAACATCCGCTACATTACGTTTCATCATGATGACCTGTACTTCCAAACACTGCGTGATTCTATTCTATACCCCAATACCACATTCAAAAAAAAAGAAATAGAACCTCGAATCTTTATATTGGTTAAAACATTCTAACAATGACAGGAAATCAAAAAGAGCAAGAATAACAAGGCAACAAGCTGCCCATTAACAGCATAACAAAACAATGTCACCGATAACAAAAAATATCAAAGTAAATATTTCGGATATATGAACAATACAGACAGTTCGTAACAGTCTGCCTTGACTCTCAAATGTACAACATTGACTAAATGAATGTATAACAAAAAGATAGACCTACTTTTGCTTTAGTATGCCAAGAATATCGCTTTCCTACTGAGACTGGTTCATGAAAAAGCTTTTAGAACACTCTCCTTTTTACCGACATCAACCAGTTTGATCAAATCATTAGCTGAGCCTCCTATACAACACACAGTGGCTACATCAGGGTTAAACTGAGCGGCATGTAAAGCGCCAACATGCTGAACTTCAGAATGTACTTTAGCAATCGATCCGTCTTCTTGCACTTTCCATACGCATAACATCTGAACTGAGTACTTGAGAAGGGAGGAGTTCGGTAAAAGAATTCAAGCACATACCTGGTCATGACCAACAGTTACTAGCAGGCCACGTACAGTGGGAGATAGCGTTAATCCACCGACACTTCCATCATGGGCACGACCTTCCCAAAGAATCTCACCAGGTTTCCTCATGTCAATGTGTCGTAGACTTCCTACAAAAGACATGATCAGTAGTGACAGATATAAAACAAATATTAACAGAAAAAACGAACCGTCATCTGTTGCAACGAATGCCGAAAACGGATTGAAATGGTTCCACCTCACCTAAACTAGTGGATGATTAAAAATTCAAAAACCAATAGTACAATAAATTGCTCGCCGTCTGAAATGAAACGAGAGGTTGTAAACGTCGTGGTGAAGAAAAGATGGGAAAGGCCTAGATCCGCGGAATGGATCCCCTTTATGAAAACCCTTCACTAATTTCCCACTTGTGGCAGTAAGGTATGCTTTCCCAATGGTTGGGGAACGGAAATCCCTTTAAATTTTTTGTTTTGAACGATACTGTTTCTTCATTTTCAGTGCATGTTTGCTTCATATTAAATGTAGGCCCCTTATCAGGACAATCCCATTTGGGAAGATAGAGAAAGGTTAAAGGGATTTTCGTTTCGCAAACCTTCGGGGAAGCATACCTTACGGCGCTGGACAAGATTTTGCGGTAAATTCATATGTGTGAACGCCTTTCTCTACCGAGCTGGCTTTCTAAAGATGGGTGCCACAGCGAGGACGACTACCAACGAGGGCACAGTCTGCTAGGTCGCCATGGGCATGCCTTTCGCCGGGAAGAGACACTTCTCGTCACCTAAGAGGCCCAGCCTACATTCATAGAGGTAAGAGAGCCGCGCCGCTTACGCGGATTGACAAATGGGCGGGAAGTTTGGTAATAATTCCTTTTCCCCGGATCCAATTAATCGCACCATGAAATCTTAAACGGCTTGCTCTTTATGACCGAATAAAAAAGCAACATTGCTTCAGTTGTGGGAAAGTTACATAAGTGAAGTGTTATCTGCTTGAAGCACGGTCATCTCCTGCATCCCCTTTTACGATGGTGACCGTTGCCCACACTATGTAGCGATTACAGCCAACTATACTGGCCATGCCAAACCCACTTGGAAAATACCCGTCACAATTTTTTACTAGAAAGAAAAAATGCCTTCTGCAATTATTTCTTTGCTCAACTCAAAAATACTCGTTCCTAATCAGACATGACACGAGATAGGATTCAGGCTTAATCTGTGAAATAACATTCGGAACCACATATTACGCACATACAGCAGAATATATATCGCACTTGTTGAAGTTTGCATAGAACAATAAAACCTTCGCAAGCCAAATCACTTAATTTTTTTTCTTAAAATCTCAACTTCATGAGATTCTAACTCACTTGTTCTACTTGGGCACCAAGTTTCCATACAGCTGAAGGCGAGCCAGTGCTTTCTCGACAATCAATCACTTCTACTGTTCCACTAAGAGTACCCGTCAGTATGAAAGATTGCTCGGCTGGGTGCCACGAGACTGCTTGAACCTTGAAACGTACAACGCCTTGACAATTCAAATGAAAGCTTCAGCAAGACACCTACAAAAAACTACAACATAAAGGCCATACCTCCCATCGCGCTCTGGCAATACTTGAGCTGCCTTGGCTTCATCCAGATCCCATAAAATTATCCGCTTATCGGCACCTATGCAGATATGATGGCTTGCAAAGTCGTGCTTGTTCAAGACTTTGAGTAATGAAATGAAACATAGCCGTTATATTCATACCTCCGCTTGCTAAAACGTGTGTCGTAATCCTATTCCATGCGAAGGCTAAGGACAGCATCCGAATGGCCTTGTTGACTTCCGTCGCGTTTTTTTCTCCGACCTAATACATTTCATAAATGGGCATGCCTAAGAGAATACAGGAAACGTTAATCTATGGCAAATGGAGAACATTTGACCACAACTAACTATTGCATACATTTCTATCTTATCCTATAGTACCTTTTACTCTTGGCTCCTAGAGAGACGACAGGCTCGACTGAATTCATTATATCCAGATCCCATATGCTGATTATTGGTTCCATTGTACCGACAGCAATAAGATTCCCCTACAACATGTAAATGATGATAAGATGAACAAGAATGGTACTTATAGACCTTCTTCTTCCACTTATAAATTTCACTGATTGTGAGCGAACCCGTCCTGAAATTTTGAATCATGGGACTGAAGCGGCCCAATAATGCGATCACGCACATCTCTGAACCCGTTCATGACTAGCGCTTTTCCCAAGATTTCGAAACTACAAAGAGGAACATGGCAACATGGTTCTTAATCTATGTCTCTTCAAGTTCCGATCAAACTCAGGACTACTGTTATGTTAACTCAAAGGAAAAAATCTTACTCGAAAGATTGAAGGAGGATACCTTTGCAAAACCATGTGAAAGGCATCTACCAATGCATGGGTCGCCAACTTGTCGATACAATCGTGTGCAGACTGGGGCAATACAAATCTTCACACATTATACACTTGCAGATGAGTAACGGTGAAGAAAAACAAAAGCAACACTGCGTCACCGATAGGCCGATGTAATGGATAAAAGGGTGTGGGCCGCTTGGAAGAAGGCGACCAATTCGCTTCTTGCAGGAGCAACCCATAGTCCACGCATGAGCCGGGGTTGGACAGCGAAAAAGCTGCGTGCTGCAAAAGCGCGGAAGGGGAAGTCGCTCTCTATCCTACCAACTCACATCCATGGACAAAATTGAAGAAATCATACAGATGTGCCTCCTAACAAACAGCCTAAGAACAGTGACGGCTTATCATGAAGTTTTATAAGCAGAGTTTCGCGCAGCAATGCTAATTCCCTTGCCTCGCCGATCACCTGATGCCGCTTAGGACGGCGGAATGAATGACGCTCTCCACAACATCGGGCTTTGCGTACATGCGAGCCCGAACCACATACGAATTCAAAACTTAGAAGTTTTTACCCAAAAATAACTGCTTTTCAGTACTCACCTTCCCTGTTTCATCATTTCCAGGATCATGTTGAATTGGTTCAAGGCACAGAGGAGGAGCTTCTAGTATGTAATCGTGATGACAATACCAATCCTCGTTTTCCTCATTATAGAGGAAAACTTCTAAGGTGTAGTTATCCTAAACGATAAGGTACACTCAAAATAATGATCATAACAAGGAAGTTAATGAGACTCATGAGAAGATTTCGAGAAAGAAGACCTCTCACTAGGATGGTGCTGGAAGAGAGGGTGTGATAGTCCTTCGAATGTAACGATAAAACGATGGTTTAGTGGAATGATCTTTTATGAGGAACGAATGAGAATGAATGCGTGGCTGACCCAAAGCTGACTGTATCGATCGAGAGCGCCCGAGCTTTAAGCAAAATTTAGCACCCTCCCACTTCATAACCGAAGGGACGCCTACAGAACAGCAAGAGATTGGACGACAACATCTAGAGGTAATTGGTAAAGTGTAAACAGGTTCACAGGAAATAAAACCTAAGTGCCGTTGCGGTCAATGCGTGAGGCTTTTCAAGGCGAGAGGTACTCCTGCAAACATGTATTCCAGAGCGGAATAGGCATAGAGCCGTATGCAACAAATTTGTGAAGGAAACATACCCGATCAATTTTTGCCAAAGCGACCAAGTTGTCCTCAGGCTTCACTTCTATTTCCTCCTTCTCTTCTTCATCGCTATCGACGTGCAGAGTAACATATGGATCATCAACATTGGACGCATACATAGCGATCCCTCGCATCCTGAGAGCGTAAAATGATGACAGAGAAGAAAAAGGCAAAAAAAAAACAGCTTCTATAAGAGTAAATATCTGGTCAAGAATTCATAACACTAGCTCAACAAGTTGGAGGACATTGCGTGAAGGAAATCCCCTACCCGCTATCAGGCTTTGCCTCTTCGTCGTCCTTTTTCTCAACCATTTCTGCTTCTTCACAAGTCTCTGTTTCCTCTTTAGGTGCAGATCCTCGAATACCAGGTTCGCGCTAAAATTGATCGCGATCATACAAGACTGGAAAAAGTAGCTGCAGCTTGTGTACTAATGAACGGCGGGCAAAATCAAATCGTTTTATAGGCGATGACACCTAGCTTAGAAGAAAAAAAACTTTCAATCACATAGTTTGGCCTGTGCAACCATCACCCGTATTGTCGCCTCGCCATTGTCCGCATGTGTCAGGAACACTTCCTTGAATGCCATCGAATAGATACAAAACTTAATCTAGTAGAATCCCATAATCGAATTCAAACATGAAATCCATCGCTTCAGACGTGGAAAAAATAACTGCTTCTACTTCCTTCAACAGGAAAAAAACCTTGAGCCACAACAAAAACGCGTGGGGTAGTACAGATTGCGCTAAGGTTTGGTGAAGGGATAAAAAAAAAAAGGATGCTTCAATAACTTCTATGCAACTGCGAGCAGCACTTATTGGAAGTGCCTAAGCGGCTAGCAAAACTGAGGTATTGTAGAACAAATACAGTAAACACCCACAAAACTTAAATTCCGAGCCTCTTTAACTTGACTACCGTTAAAATGTGGGCTTCCGTACCCTAACGCAGCATTTAGTACTAATATGACACCAATTAGCCTGAATCAAGAGACGTCGATCAAAACTCAGAGATCATGATGATCATCGACACTTTTTGCGATACGCGTGCTGTCATCCATAATGGTGTCAGAGTCCGCGATCCGTCGCAGGTTTCGCTGATTTTCGCGATTTGCGCGAAACCTGCGACGGATCGCAAAAATTGCAAGTGCCCCATTTGAACATTTGAAACACTGAATATGAAACAAGTGGAATCATGAGCAGTCGTCATTCAGCCATCACTATCAAGCAGAAGTGGCGGCGAGAACACTTGCAGTATTGATCAGGGCACTTGTGATTTCCGTGACCCGTCGCGTGAATCGAAATCGCGGAAATCGTGCAAATCGCAAAAATCACGAAAATCGCTAGAATCGCGAAAATCAGCAAAACCTGCGACGGATCGCGATCTCTGACACCAGCTTAAGTCCTCCCGGAAATATTCAAAGAGACTGTCTACGATTCATTCACATTCACAAGATTCTAAGATAGACTTCTTCTCTTCTACTTATCCCCAAAACATCACAAAAAAGAATACCGAAGGACATGCGAACCGAAACAGCATACCTTGAATTAGTTGCTTCAACTGTTCCTCGTCCAGCTTTATTTTGTCGGGAGTTTTCTTTGGCACTCCTCTTGGGATCCAAGCGATATCAGAAATCATGACCACTCCATCCATGATGGCTCTGGGAACAATATTTTATTGAGACTACAGCACAGACAACAGAAACGAATAATTTCAACACGTATTCGAATTTGAAAGGTACATCACTGAGAGCAGCTTTTGAGAATCATCATTAGGAATAGCACTTACATTTATAGACGAAATCGTAACAAAATCTGTACAAGGAACTCCGAAGTAGGAAAGTAATTCGGAAATGTCGTCGTAATGAAGCCACCGTGCCAAGGTGCTTTTAGGGATTTTCAGACCAGTAGACTTATATGTGCGACACAGTCGATATTAAGGGCCCGAAGTCGAAGTATACGGACCGCTTCAACAGCTGCAACGGCGATGGTGTCACGATGCAATTCTGATAACCGTCGGAAGAACCTCACGTAATTGTTGCTGCGAAAAGCGATGATGATGTCGCGTAGAATACAAAATGTATCGTAATCCAGGAAGCTCTTCCAGGCGTAGATATCTAGCAAGGCCGTTGGATTTGGAATTCCATGGAGAATATAGGCGCACAGAATGGGGGAACTCTCGGATTCATAGGGGACGGCCTCCATCGCTTCAGCCCATCTTGAAAGGCACTCTTCCAACTGCGTGGAATGAAGCTTCCAGTCATAAGCATCACAATTCCTGGTTCGGCATAGGTAATCCGTCTTCCAAGTAAAAAGGGATCATCGCCTCTAGAATTCGTAAAACTTCTGCAGCTGAAATGTCTTGAAGAATCATATCCTGCCTGACAGCACGAAGACGGTCACACACAAACGAATATACAGAATTGAATTGCTTCAACTTCTTCCCTTTTGTACAAATTCAGCAAGTAATGGACAGTTGAAAGGAGTACTTTGGGAGGCCGTAAGATGTCGGGATGCAGATGATTAGTGCCGGCTGCCGGTCGCGTATACTCCTTCACCATCCTATGTCGAATATCTTCCGAAATTTCACGATCATCTTGCTCCGATTTCTCCAACGCGTGAACCATGTTGTTGGCAAGGCGGAATCGAATTTCAGCCTCGGGACACATTGTCATACATTTGCCAACAACACTGTGAGAAGTAGAACACATCCCACCAAGAAAATATGTCAAGTAAAAGCATCACAGCTACTGGTGAAAAATTATTGCCAAAATGGTCGCCAAATAATGTGTTGCGTCTGCAATACACCACGTGACCGTAGCCATTCGCTACCGTACCACGCGATATCGGTCTCTTCCCTTTCTTACAGGCAGGCTCAAGGTCAGGGTTGGAAATTTTTTAGGACCATACTGTATGCCACAGTTAACATAGGATGTGCTAGAAAGCTTCGAGCATGCGCTTGCACTACATCCCTGCCTTGGTGTGCGCCACGCCTCGGGCGCGCTTCTGATTCGCTGATTCATTTGAAAGCTCATTTAGAAGGAAGCGTGGGTTTATAGATGCATAATATACATATACATAAAATAATGCATTTTATAACTATTCACATACTCAGTTTCTGTGCTGCGTTTGCTCTTTCCCTCCGTACCACCATCTATGATCAATAGGAATATTACCAAGAATCCCACTGCCGGCCACCGAGAGAGTACGACCCCCCCCCTAAAACCTCAACCGAATACGACCCCCTCCGTTGTACTTATAGCAACATAGGGCTGACCCTGTTTACAGGTTGGGGCAAAATTACTGGTGCACTAAATTTTCAATGGCATTTTGACAATAATTCTCACAAATCAATTCTAATTATCAATATTATTTACTACAAACATGACAATACAAAAAATGTTAATGCTTCTCAAAATGATCTCCTTTAGCCTTCACACAGTCCTTCAGACGTTCGACAAATGCTTCGCATGTGGCACGCAGGTACTGGTCATCGATTTCGTCCCAAGATTTTGAAAGCGCCGCCTTAAGAGAGTCCAAGTTTGGATGTCTGGTAGAACACGCTTTGCTCTCCAAGATGGACCACACAGAGTAATCCATCGGGTTTAGATCAGGAGAACTTGGAGGGCCATCCTCTTTATGATGAAATCGTTACTTTACTTACGGAAGTCAGTTACCTCGGACGACACATATGAACCATTTCTGCTTTTGTTGTCTCAAGGCAGAAATCTTGCTGTAAGCACAAGTAGCCTCTCGAATGAATTGGCGCCCGGCTCGAAAACTTCTTCAGGTACAATTTAAACCTTTGTTTTGATTTCCGCCAGCTTTTTTAAACAAGTGGGCGTTTTTTCCTAGAATGTAATCTTTAAGGCCAACGAGGGTGCGGATGCTCGCTCCTTTCTGGAGTCCGTGCCATAGGTCGGTTATTTGGAGTTTAAAGCCGGATTACAAGTGAAAATTTTTCATCACTAGAATCGGCATGACCTCGAGCGGCTGACCCACCAGTGAACGATGCCAGCATTTCCAACCTAGGAGTTCTTTTGAATGCCTTCTCGGGAGAGGTCTGATTATGGGGCGTGCTCTCTCTTCCCTGTCCTCTTTGGCCTTTAGTTCTTCATAGCGTTTTACTGTACTCTTCACCGTTCTTCAGGGTATAGAAAAGATCTTCACAATTTCTCTTCTTTGTTGTCGTTATGAAGACTGATGATTGCGCTTCGTAAGTTAGACCGATGAACCATTTATACTCGAGTACGTATGTGTTGGCGCAATGTTCGAGCAACATATCACAAGCAGGTTTAACGGGAAAAACGAAGGCTAGAACGAAAAAAATCCAAAGCGTATAGGGCACCAGTAATTTTGCCCACCCCGTACTTTGCTGGGGCGACGTCCCTGTTTCCTGGTCGGAAGGTCGGATATAGCAACGATCTACTTCGCTAAATCGAAGTGGTCAGAATGGAACGGATCAGGGTCATGGCCCAAGAGTTTTACAAAAGGCGCTCATCGGTCCTTATGAGTTACTTTCAAAACAGTGGACGGTGGCTGACCCTAGAATTAAATCCAGGAGAGAGCAGAAGTGTAAGGGAAAGCACTAATCGCCTCAATACCCATCCCAAGGCCTAGTCCCAGTGTTGAAGTGGCCCATTTACTTGAATGTCCCCCCCCCCCCTTCATCGAAATGAGTATCTACAAATATTCCGGCGTGCACACAAAGAAAAATGAAATGAAGCTCCCTTGAGCAAATTATGACAAGGACGAGCGTTTTGCACGGTACTAACGCAAGCACCGTAACCTCATCGTGATAATAATGTGTGAGTGGTGTGGAGTGCGTTGCAGGCACCACACGTCAACTGCCAACCCTCGACTGAACAACCCTATTACCATCCTCCAAATTTTACATGGGCTTAGGATTAGTTTCGTTGTATGGAGTACTTCCGATGGGGCACAGGGTCACGGAAATGAATTAACTTCCTCGTTGTGTGGAGCAGATCAATTGTGTTTCCTAGACTCCTAGACGTCCCATTTTAAGACATTTATGCAGCACAGGCAAGACACCATTTCAAGAATTATTGTAAAATAAGTACAGGAACAGAGCTTGTGTACACAGTCTGATAAAGAGCATGAAAATGTGGTAAACCTTGAATGGTGATCCTACACCTAGGCGGAATAGTTAAGGTTCCTTCATTGTAGGGACGAGGTCTCCCTTCCCGAAACTCATGTCGTGGGTCCATATGAACCATATATGAAACATCTGACCCGTTCTTCAAGTCCTATCTAAGACGTCGTCAGAAACTCTTCTGAAGGCTTACAACATCAGATCAGGAACAAATCCTGATCTTCCAACTTTCCCTTCAATGACGCCCTTTGAAAATTGTGGGGAGAAGAAAAGCAAAATGCGAGGTAGTGGGCCAATCGAATGAGCAAACCTAACTAGTCGAACTGAAGCGTAGTTTGGCGGGCGACCTGTGAAGGACATATCAACACGCCAACTAGCTGTGGCGACTCGGAATCGTGCGAGGAGCTATTTCGATCGACGCTTGAAGACCCATATTCCTCAACATTTAAGTGAGCTTCTTCATCTGCTGCTGAAACTCCGTAATGTGCCACCTTTGCTAAGGATATCATCTTCGAACGCAGCGCAGTGCTAACCTGAAAGATTTTATGATGAGACGTGCACCACCAGCACCCGACCACCTAACTGATTGACAGATTTGAATTCTCGCACTTGTACCTGTCCAGATTATCAGGGCTTTCCGTAGCTCAGTTCCGACACAGTCACTTATTTCACCAAGTCGTTCGGATAAGTA